TTTCCGCCGCCGCCGCCGGCGTTGCCGTGACGACAGGAAGATTCGCAGAGGCTGCGTGCGACGGCGGCAGCGACGATCGACCACGCTGCGAAGTCGCGCGTCGTCCCGCCGTGCTCGCTCGCCGGCACGTGGGCGTCGCCGAGGCCGACTGCGAGCAGACGCTCCGCCGACAGCAGGTGGAGCCACTCGTCTACGTCGCGCGCGACGCGGTTGTAGTCGTCTGCGTAGAGCGAGTCGCCGAGACCGAACACGCAGTAGCGGAGTCGCGAGAGGCGCCCCCTACCAACACGAAAGTCCGTCGTCGCCTCCTGCAGTCACTTGCAGAACCACTGTGCATCCCGCGGCGGCGCTCCGTCTGCGTACGTCGACACGATGAATGCGCAGATGGTGCTGCCACCTTCCTGAAAAATAATGCGTCATTTTTGTTATTTTTTTATTACTATTATTATTATTATTTTATTCTATCAATTTTATATGATTATTGTTATTATTTTAATATTTATATTGTTGTTATTTATTTTCGTTACTTTATTACACGTCAAAATTATGATTAAGAATGATTTATTATTCGATGTAATGAATTTTTCACTTTATGCCGTGTTGTGATCTACATTAATCGGCAATACATGCAACAGCATTCTTATGTAATTAATTTCGGAATAATAGTTAACACCAAGCTATTGCATTTTTGCATTAACTGTCCTGCCATGGCCATAGCCCAATGCCATTGCCATAGGGCCGCCTAATGTCTAATAGCCTGATGTCTGATAGCCTAATAGCTAAGAAATCGAATACAACGCCCACACACACGCACACGCACACGAACGCACACGAACACGAGCACGCACACACGCACATGCACACACACATATTCGCTAGAAGTACAAGACCCAGAAGACATGAAAAGAAAAAAACCGAGGCTAATTGGCAATTGCCTCGTAATTAGCTGCGTTCACTCTCATCATTAACCGACCGGCGAAAAGGAAATTGCGCGTGCGGAAAACCCGCCCCGCTAATCACCCTAGAGCGCTTCCGAACAAAACTCCGACAAGCTTCGGCGGGCACGGAGGATACCCTGTCACGTACCCCCCCCGACCCAGCACGACCCAGTTAAGGCTCAACAATGCAATGGTCATGCATGTGCACCGAGGCATGTTAGACAAGGTAGATGAACAAAATTTAATTTCAGAATTTGTAAATTGCCATCCAGGCAGAAAAGATAAAATTGAAATAATAAAAAAATAAAATGACAAGTTATCTGACGAGACTGTCTGGTATTACTATTAATACTGATCAATTAGAGGTGTTATATCAGTGCTCTAAGATTTGGAATGTGTATTTAATATGACAATGTGCCTATTCAAATTCAAACTTCAAAACATACAGATGTACATAGTGAAAGTATAAATGCAGATTGAAAATAGGCTTATTTTTCCTAATTATGTACTGATAGTATATACAATTTTGTAAATAATGTTTTATTAGTTATCATACTCATAATATATATTTTAGATACTTTAGTCAAAACATAAGCTTTAGCTACATTCCTCTTTGAAATTTACAAATTGACCTTTTAAAATGATCAGAATTGGTTGCTTTCAACAAAGCCTGAAAATGCAGGAAATGCCATTTCCAGGCTCTACATTTCAAAATTTTTCCTAATCAAACATTTCAACTAACAGCGTATGTAGTGGCTAGCTAATGTCACTTCAGCAAGCAAATAGTTTCTCCATCGTTTAGATGTAAAATGATCTGATGCCTTTCGTTATGAGCGCATCACAGCCAGCGCGAGTAGACACGTCATGGCCGCCATGCCACTCAGATGCAGACGACCTGCAAATGATAAACGTGCAGTCAAGCAAGTATTACCCCACCTTGTTGCTACCTTTATTACGTTAATACGAGAATAAGTGGAAATATAATTACGTTTTGCACGTCACTTCCTATCGAAGCGAATCAATCAATTTAATTACATCCTTACGCTAATTTATTACGTTACAGTAACATGTGCTGTTATTTTAACAAGTTAAGTACATTTAGTTTAACTAGTCAAGAGTTGAAAAAAAAGTATAACAGGAGTACGTAATAAAAGCATAGTATACTATACGTACCGGCAGCGGTCGACTCTGTCGACGGCGTGTAGGTGGTGTCATCCGTCGCGCCGGTAGCGACGGGCGTCGTGCAGCTTCCGCACATCTCGCACGCGGCGACCGTGGCGACCGACTCGCCGCGCAGACGATACGGCGCCGCGCACGTGCCCAGCTCCGTCTCCTGCTCCAGCCACGCCTCCTCAACAACCCAGCTCAGCGCGCAGTCACACGTGAGCGGGTTGCCTGCGTGAGACAACGACGGCATGTAAGTCACGAGTCCACAGTGCTCTCCCCCTATTGTACACTATTGTACTTCTCCTACTATTCCTACAGTGCTCTCCCAGTCTCCCCCTATTGTACACTATTGTACTTCCCCTACTATTCCTACAGTGCTCTCCCCCTATTGTACACTATTGTACTTCTCCTACTATTCCTACAGTGCTCTCCCCCTATTGTACACTATTGTACTTCCCCTACTATTCCTACAGTGCTCTCCCCCTATTGTACACTATTGTACTTCCCCTACTATTCCTACAGTGCTCTCCCCCTATTGTACACTATTGTACTTCCCCTACTATTCCTACAGTGCTCTCCCCCTATTGTACACTATTGTAGATCCCCTACTATTCCTACAGTGCTCTCCCAGTCTCCCCCTATTGTACAATATTGTACTTCCCCTACTATTCCCACAGTGCTCTCCCCCTATTGTACACTATTGTAGATCCCCTACTATTCCTACAGTGCTCTCCCCCTCTCCCCCTATTGTACAATATTGTACTTCCCCTACTATTCCCACAGTGCTCTCCCTCTATTGTACACTATTGTACAATATTGTACTTCTCCTACTATTCCTACAGTGCTCTCCCCCTATTGTACACTATTGTACTTCTCCTACTATTCCTACAGTGCTCTCCCCCTATTGTACACTATTGTACTTCT